CGGGTTCGAATCCCGTTGAAGCCCTGATTTTTTTCAGGCTTCTTCTTTCCAACTGCTTAAATTGGAAAATTTACTGCGATGATCATTCTTCACTTTTTAACGTTGATATTGACTGTGTTTCTGAGTATTTTACTCGGTTGTTAAACGTTGTTTGAGGTTTCTGTGTTGACATGGCATCCTGCTGGAGTGGTCATACCACATGCATGCGTGACGGGCCAATCTCCTAGCCAGGGGGTGGTGAAATGACTTCTGGCCGGTGGGACTGTCTTTGAGTCAATGCGGGCATGTTGTTGCGAATTCAGATATACATATCAAAGTACCCTGGTCAGCCTCCGCCATTTTGATGCCATCGAAATTATTGATATTGCATAGTGAAGCGAGGTCTTATTTCTTTAGTGTAAGTTGTGTTCCTGAAAGTATGTTTAATTAACTTACAGCTATAATTTAGTTTCAGAAGTTTTTTGTCATTGTTTCTAGTTGGAAAGCATTGAATTATTACTTGGTGATAAAGCCAAGGAAATTCAGCCTAACGCCACTTTAAGAACTGGAAGTTGGTAAAGGAACTGAGCACATGCTCACAGCTGAAAAGTTTCCTCCTACAGCTTGCGATCAAATAATCAGATGAATATAAATGTGACTTTCCTTGAAAGGAAGGAGGAGACTTTCGCCCATTCAGGCTTTACATTCTGTGGAGAAAGTAATGTAGGTCACTGGACCTCTCCCTACATGTACAACTTGTTAACACTCTAAAAATCGATACTCACTCGCAAGATATACTATCCTCCAGGTAAAGTTCATTAATGGTAATATTAATCACCATGTCTTGTGGAATAGGAACCGAAGAAATACAATCTGTATTATTTGGGTAATCGTTAGGATATCCGAGACTTCTGAGGGTATTTTCAATCACTGGACCGCATCCTGCATACAACAAATCAAAATATTAAAAGACAGAGTTGATATCGACTGAATAGATTTATTCACTGCAACGGTTTGTTTCCATTGACCCTGAAAAACCGCATTGGGGGAGGGGTAACTTAAGATATTTATTTTAATACTTGTTTATTTAATTTTTATGTATTTCTCTAACTTTTTTGCGTCAGCTTCAAAAACCGTCAACTGCCTATCAAGCCACTTCAAGGCACCAAAATACACAGATTCTTTCATCTCATTCTTAAGTCGGATAATGTAAGATTTCTTCGTTTCTTTAACAGCAACTCACGAGAGCATACACAAAGGCGATAATCCTAGACAGAAAGAATCGATGCCATGACAGTCGTGACTGTAAACACTTCGACAGGAAGTGAATAGAAACGCCTATATTACATCAATATCGTAACACTTTGGATAAATTGTATACCAAACAATGTTCCTTACCATAGCACAAGCTAAGTTCTTTGAATTAATATATAATTAATGTCGAAGAAAAGGTTGTTGTTATTCATCGTGGTAGATGCAATAGTAAAATGTCTTATCGTTTGTGTCACGATGTAGTCACTTGAGATGTAGATCGCGACGTTCCAACTGCTTACTGCTAGTCTTCTTCAGGCGAT